ATTCATAATTACATATAACACACATCCAAACGGACGAGTCACACACCAAGTAATATAAAATGCAGCATACGCCCGCGGTCCCTGCATGTGTGCATTTCATGTGAGAATGGTCATGACAATTTGTGTGACTCTTGTACAACAAAACTGCCTCAATTAGAATAGAACAGTTATGTGAAAGTAATCAAACATGTGCACATAAATAACACAACAGCAAAAAAATAATATTAAATACTAATGGACAGAAAACGACACTCGCAGGGAAGTGTGTATGTAATGTATATTTTTACCTATACACGAAGAGACTAAAGGGTCGATTAGTTGGCAACACTGTACAAAATTTTGGAGAGACTAAAGTATGTGAATTGAAGCATTGGAAGCAGGGTAACTATCGGGATATAGTTATATATGAATATATATATTATATACTATATATGCGATATATAGTTATAGGTTCATACAATATATCATCCAGCACTCGAGATAACAGTATATATATGGTCAGCATCAATAAGAGTTTAATTAGAGAACCCGCTATGCGTCAGTACATATTACCGCTATAAAAATAGCAACGTTGTTAGAATCAGTAATTATAAAATTTAGCAAGGCTGATAAGAACTTTCATCAAAGTCGCGAGACATTACCTATAAAAAGTTGGCTCTTATGCGTCTTAAATTATCATCAAACACAAAAAGTATAAAACAAGCATGCGTATCTGCTGTTCTAACAAAATAGACAAAACGCTGGTACCAGATAGTTCAAAATACCAATACACTGGCACATTCAGCAACACAGTCGCTCAGATTTCGAAACCGCTCTAAAATTGTGTACACGTCCGTTCGCCCTAAAAAGCTGCTCATTTGTCGAAATCGATTTGGTACCACTATAGCATATAGCTGCCACAAAATAAATAGTTTTTTTTTTTACTCCCCTAATGTACATATATTTATATGATTTTATGCTATCATACCAGAACGTGTTTGTAAATTTTATGTGTCCACAGTGTTGAGCTTAAACTAAATTTGAAGTTTGGTGACAAAACAAATGGATGGCTTAGACAAAACCTAGAACCAGAACATCGAATTGAAATGTAATGACCACTGACACCTGCTATAGGGCGAGTCGAAGTATCGAAAAATGAACAACTGCAGATCATCGATATTAGCGCTAAGAACTATCGTCAACTATTGATGCTTGTAGACTAGCGATAATTCGCATTCTCTACTCGAATTACGAACTCCACTGCACCACTCCACTTACTTGGATGTCAACCAATTTTGAACTCATTTCAGTGACAACTGCATTTAGCAAAGCATGTAACATAACTGATACTTAACATACATAACTTTAATAAAATAACAGTTTTTATCGAACATATACAAATGTATTTTGACACAACAAAGCCACAAAATCATACAAATCCACTTTACACACAGCAAATATGTGGAACCAAAATGGAGTTCATCCAATTTAATCGAAATCGCAGCGAATAAAAACATCGCCAGCTGCACATTTCGCTTAACGATTGCCTGTTATTACTGAACAAACGCGTCGCTGTTGGTGGTGCCGGCATATCACTGGATTTTATGTCGCACGTTCGTAGGAATTTCGGTTAGTTGTTTTGAGGTTTTCTATGCCATAAACGCTGTGCTACATTTCGCACAACCGCCCGCGTCCACTTTTCTCGCACACGCTCGGAATAACAACAATTAAGCGGCTATTTTAATACACTATACAAAACAATAACAACCAAAATATAGCATATGAACTGAGCCACTGCAAATGACCAAAAATCTGCGCACTTTACGCCACTACCGATGCTGCAGTTGCGCCGTTAGCCGTCGGCCGGGATGCCGTCGCTTGGGTTATGGCCGAAATCCATTTAGCCAATCGAAATTTCAGTTGACTGGCGCCGAAATGCATAAAAGTTAAATATTAAACATAACAAGTAAACAGAGAAAGTCGCACAAATAAACAAAATTGAAATAGAAAAACTAACAACACAGCGTCAACATTCATTCACATATGTATGCAATAAAAATAACAACAAAAACGACGACAACAAATATTAACAAGCAAAATGGCGAGCTTGTAATTGCATTTGTTCGTCGGTTGTCAGCGGCGCCACATAAATACCCGTAGGCATCAGCCAGGCGCTGCAGCGCGGGCGGAAACTGGCAAAAAGCGCAATTAAAGCTTGTGTTGTCGTCGAGTTGTTGTTGTAGCTGTGGCGGGCATAGCGCTAATAGAATAACATTTGCTAAAAATATAATGATAATTGCTGTTGCACGGTGCAGTGTCGTGTTTTGCGATGCAAACGACGTCGCGCGGTGAAATTCTAAAGGTCAGCGACTTGAAATGGCGGGGAGTGTTAACTGTGGTAGCTGAAGGAGGCAAGCGGCGAGCAGGGATAAAAACAAATATTTAATAGTCTGAGCCTTGATCTGAACTTGTTTTGTGACAATTGCTGCTAAGTTTTAGGATAATGGAATCGTTGCAAATGTAGCAGAAGCCTTTTGGAGGAATGCACTTTGTCACTAACAGAAGTATATGAGCGTGCACACAGCATTCAGTGAAGGTCCTGAAGTCCTGGCCAGCTGAGCAGACTGAGCGTTTGAAGTTGCTCCGAAACTAAATGGAAGCCAGAGTGACGTGTAATGACGACAACATCGAAAAAGTTAAGTGTATTCGGTTAATGTTTCGGGTATGAAGCGCTAGGCTCGTACCAGAAGACCCGAATTTTGTGCAAAACTACGTCGAGTAGATGTCGCAAAATAGATGCTTGAGAAGGTAGCTGAGAACGCTTCATTAAGCAAATGCAGCATTACTAGTAACGAGACGTAGTCGAAACTGTCCAAAAATATAGCGAATGGCGCTCCAAAAATTAGCCGAAACCAAAAAAAAAACTACGTCACAATCGGTCTAAAATCAAGATGTTGCTCATGTTGTTGTTGTTGTTGCAGCAGCAGAATTCTGCCAAGTTGACAGTCTTTGGCCGGATAAAAATCCGGGTCAGTTCCGGTTAAGTAGACCCGACTATCGTGGGAAGACAGACGGCGCTCAGCCACCTCATTCGCCATATTTAAGTCAATTTCGGTTGTTATAAAGACATTTTTCATTTTCCTTATTAAGGGAGAGAAATCGATGTTTTAGCTTAATCCAAAACTATCTGAAAACATATGTGTATTAGCTTTGAGTTGGAAGTAGTTAAAAAGATATTTCAGGTAATAGACAGGTGCGTCGACCAGGTGCCAGTCGCTGCGCTACGCGAACTATTTGACCTAACAACATGATTCAACTTCTATTTTGTAAAGTATTAAAAACTGTTTGATAAAAACCAAAGATATTGAAGATTTCTATAACTTTTTAAGTGAAAATGTGTACAAATTTTATGTTAAAAATCTATTTCAAAGTTCAAATATTGGAAAAAATTATTAATTTTCCGTTTTAAATGGCTTTTTGAGGTTTACATATAGTGGAAAAGTATACAAATTAACCAAATATTTATATTTACTGTTACACATAAGAATTATGGATGCTACTTTACACGCCAACGGACGGTATCACCTTCCACTTCCTCCACGATTTTTCAACAATTTAGAGTGGTTCAATCATTAATAAAAAAGCATTTAAAAATACAATAAAATATAATCTTTGAACGAATTTTCTACAATATTTCTTATTCTGAAAATAAAAATTCAAAAAATCTGTTCTTTTCTGGCCGCTAAATGATCCGACTCCCTTAATTTTAAACGTATATCAGTGTATTCCAAAACGGTTACTCATACGCCCTGTTGCAATACTTACTTTTTGACTATGTTACGTACTACATAAATATTTTTATTTTGTTTGAAAAAAATATAAAAAAAGGACGGCTCATAAATATAGGAGTCGATGAGAAAAATTTCGCCGCAACAGTTGGAACTTCAAAGATCATATTTATGAATAAATGATCAACGGAATGCGATTTTGACAATAATTTCGTTATTTCAAGCCTCTCTGTAGCGTAAAGTTTTTCACAAAAATGTGTTTTGTTGGAAAGCGGCCATTATGTCAAAAATCAAATTTTGACTAGTCTTCGGATCATTAGCTGTATACAACAACTGTTTGGGTTTTTTGATTTGAATTAATGTAATATAGAAAATTCTTTTTCACCGCCAAACACCTTTTTTCAAAGTTCCTCACGGAGATCGTACATTAAATTTTGTAAATGTACGTTTTTTATTAATTTATTTTATATAAAAATAAACGGCCTCTTCAAAATAAAAAAAATAAAATAAAAAAAAAACTCGATATTTCTGACGTGCAAGTTTATATAATACCTTAATAGCAGATTTATTAAAAGTTCAGATAAATTACGCTAAAAGTATGGCATTTATGCTAATAGAAAATATTTCACTGATACAGAATCTGAAATATTACAGCGCTTAGTGATTACCAAAAAACTAAATATGAGATTTTCAAACACCCCACATCCAGCTAGATCGCCATAGTCATTAGATAGACACATTTTTATGAAATGTTGGCAACTTCCGTGTGACACTAATATTATTTTCCATAATATTATTGTTGTTATTTTAATTATATCATGGCTAATATTGCCACTTTAGTTAAAAATATATTAACCCAAATTTTACAAAAGGTAATTGCATAATTACTTTTATTTCAAAAATATTGTGGAGTTTTCACTTTTAGTCATAGCAATTCGCCATGCACATACTTGTATACAGGTATATGTGTGTGTATTATGCACGCCACCACAGCATTTGCATAAAATTTATTAAATTTATTTTACAGCAGCTCACACACACACACCCACACAAGCATGTGGGTCATTTCAATGTATTTTAAACTGAAATGGCCTGTATTCTATTTTCGACTTTCATTTTAATTAATTTTTTTTGTTTTTGTTTTTTTTTGTAATCGAACAAAATTTTGAATGGACTGTGAAAATTTCGCATTCTAATTTCTAATAATAGACATTTGCATTTGTTCGCACTTACCCACATACATGCAGGAGAGCAGCAACTGCAGCGCCGGTATTGAGAAACGCTCATTCTCCAGCTTAACCAATTCCAATGCTAATTTTTCGATTTTGTTGCGCAACATTGGCGTCATTATGCCGACAGCTGGTATACCAACGGTACTATTGACACCCGACGCGCCGGATATGCTCATGCCACTAGTACCGGTATTACTAATGACCACCATGCGCTCGAGACCCTGGAAGTAAAAAAAAAAGTATGAAAAAACTTGTATTTGAAAAGAAATAAATAGGTGGCAGCACCCGAATTAAGTTTCATTAGATTCTATACCTGATCTCTAAAAAGATAAATCACACTTAGACTACTACGGACAGTCTTTTTATTATTATTTATATTTTTAAGGTGAGGTGTTAGATGAATAAGTGTAAAAAAAACTGCGCTTAATGGGTACTCTTTTAAAACATAACACATAGTGGATGTATGAAAGGAGTCTGGAAACTTACACCTCCATCTGTTAGGTTAGAGCTTTTTTTTAACGATTTAATTTTGTGAATATTTTCAGACATATTGTCTATATTGCAGTGGCCTATGCTCACTGATTTAACTTAAACAGATTTTAATGATAATATTATAAATTACTTAGTAACGCCATAAGTTCTGTTACAAGATCAAGCCGTTATAAAAATTAAACTATAATACAGTTTTTAATAAAGTTAATTTTTTTTATAATGCATATATTAAATGACCGACTTAAAAAAAGTTTATTCGAAATGATCACCTTTTGCTGTCACACAAACTCTCAAACCAAAACGGCTCAAACGATCAATAGCAGCATGCACAGTTTTTATTGGTATTGCCGACGCTGAACGAACCAAAGATTTGTTGAGTCTTTTCTCGGACCACAAACCATAGCCCAATTGATTAAAGTCTGGACTTCGAGACGGCCAATCATCTGCAACTATTAAACATGGAGAGACTGCTGAGTGGCTTTTGCCTTGTGTGCTGAAGCAGAATCTTGCGGGAAGATACAATGCTCTCCATCGAAGAGAGTATTGCTTAACTGCAGTTCCACGCTTTCTAAAACATCCTGCTGATACACTTTTTGATACAGTGTTGCATGGTGACTACGATGATAAGCCCTTGGTATAACATTTTTTGCATCTTTGGTAGTTTTTGCGTAGATTTTGTCGATCTACTTATTGATATATTGAAAACTTCTTCAACAATGAACATTTTTTCTACCTTAAAAATAATACTTTCAGGGTCAATTGACCGTGTGCCACTGAAGAAGCCGCATGCATCTGTTTAGCCTAATTTGCATTGGTAGACTTTCATGTGTATATTATCTCGAATAAGTCTTGTCTATGAGCTGGTTGATATATCCATTTCGATTGACACAATTTTCTGTTTTTTTAAATATATTTGATTATTGTATTAAAGTAGACACTGCATACAAATTATAATAAAACATAACGGTACTTTTTTCTAAGAATTTCTCGTCGCTCCATGCATTGTAAACTTTGTAACAGAATTTATGGCAAGACTAAGTATACGTGACGGCTGTCCCTTAAAGAGTGTTTTAAGCTGAAAAGGCTTAGCGTGGTCCAAATATAGTATGCTAAATAATTTATTGGCCTTTTGTCTCTTTTACGCGAACAATTTCTCTGCAGTAGGAAACAATATCAGTTAAAGAGTCGATCTAAAATTATTTTTAAACCGAATTTTATTCAAATCGAATTTCGGCGAAATATTTTTGCAATTTTTGGTAAATCACAGAAAATTAAAATTCGGTCGCAAGTGGAAATATTTTGGTTTTGTATATGTGTGTGTATAAAAACTAATTAAAAATACGTTTTCAGTGGCAATTACAAATTACGCAAACGGATTTTACTTATGTATATGTGTGGGTATGTATATAGGTATGCAAGTGCTATTGGCTGCAGCGAAGCAGAAAACTTCATTATATTTTGAAAGTTAAACCAAAGAGTGCAAATGAATAAATAGCTAAAGCTCTATAAATATATATTTGCGCTTGTGTGTGTGTGTATCTGTATTTGTTTGCCTGCATTTGCGTGTTTCTAAATAGAGCAATTTCCATAAACTTTTACAACCACTTATTCCTGGTTGCAACTTTACTGCCGACTATTTACTCGCTGCTCAAATGTTTACAACTAATTGCAGCAATTTATGCTGTTCGTGTGCTCGGCCACGCCGAATGTCTGTTGCACTGTGTTTTTGCCACGCATTTGTTTTTGTATTTTGTCGTATTTTACGCTTTATTTTACTTTGTTGTGCATTGGCTTCGCCACATTTTTGTTTTAATTGTCGCCTAACAAGTCGGTCGGTCATAATCCACACAATTAAACCGACGTCCATTAGGCATATTCACAGAACCGAAGTGTTATTTAACTATTTGCTAAACTAACAAAGCGGCAACACACACGTACACATACACACACTCACCTAAACAAACATATCCACAGGCACGTGAGTAAGCCACAACTAAGTAAGCCGCCTGCTCAGCCGAGCGGCGCTAGTTTGGAAAGGTGTAAGGCCACACGAAATCTCTATGGATATACGTGTATGTATGTATATGTGGCTGTGTGTGTTTTTATATGTGTTTGGGTCTGTGTTTGTGTTCGTGTGTGCACGGTCAGCAATGTCATGGCACAATTCAAGCGTAAACGCAACGCATTGATTCCGATCAACAATGGTCAGCCAGACAGACGGATAGCCGCACAGACAGCTAAGGGAGCTTTGAAGCTGGCAAGTTGTTTTTGCTGGGCTTTCACTCTCGCAGCCATAAAAATAAATGCTTCAACTAACACACTATCATATTTATCCACATAAGTGTGCACGTGTGTGTGTGTGTGTGTGTGTAGGGCAGTTGGTAGTTGTTGTTAGTTTTGAAAATTGCCAATCAAAAAACCAATTAACTAGCATCATGTACAGCAGCAGCAGCAGCAGCGGTGGCAGCACTAGGCCACTGACCACCAGCGCTGGCCACAGCGGTCATTCAGTCACAGCAAGCACTGCTCGTCAGGCGGCGGTGTCCTGCGGCAAATCAACAAAACGTTAAACGAACGACAACGGCAGTCAGACAGCTGCTGCGAGCGATGTACACAAAAAACAACAATAAAAATAAACAAAAATATGAAAAACGTCAACTTTGCCTCCTAATACCCTTGACAGTTGCATTTCAATTGTCATAAAAGGATATAATAAAAATCTTTATCTTGATCTGGATGGGTTAGTTTGTATGGCAACTATGTATATGCTATAGTGCTCCCATCTGAAGTGGTCCCATCTGAAAAATTTCTACGAACATTGTAGCGTTGGCTTGGACCAAAAACCCTGTTAAATGTCGTGAAGACATCTTGTCAAATAAACAAGTTTTTCAAACTAGAATTTGATTTTGATAGGTCAGTTTGGATGGCAGCTATATGTTATAGTGGTACGATATCGGCGATTCCGACAAATGAGTAGTGTCTTGGGGAAAAAAGAATGCGTGCAAATTTTCAGATCGACATCCCTAAATTAAGAAACTAGTTAACGTATATTCGTTGCAAATAGTACGCCTTGTTTAGGGTATAAAAACTGCAAAAAGGATAACAACTGATACGAATAGTGTTGTTTTTGTTGTTGTTGTTGGCAGCAATGTCACACAAGGGAAAGTAAATAGAAATGTAAGAGTTGTCAGAGTTAAAGACTGAAAAAATACACACACACTTAAAACATAACGGTAAGTAAAGCAAACAGCAAACTAAGCGTGTGGCACATTGTGATGTTGCACGGCAAGTACTCTTCACAGCTTGCCATATGCTGCGAAAGAAAAACTTACGACAATAACATAACGGATAAGCAAACAACTAAGTTATGACACACATACATACATAGATATATGTGTCCCAACACTATCGAACACACAAAATCGACTTTCAGCGGCTAAGCGGGGACTGCGGATGAAAACAGTTAGAGTGACAGTGCGACAGCACTTCTGATAACAAACGCGCACGCTGAAACTCATGCTACACAAGTAGACATGTAACATACATGTATGTATGTACATATGTATGTGTGCAGCGCTTGTATCACTTTTATTATTCTTTCTGCCATATTTTTGTGATTTTTGGGCGTCGCTGCCGGTCAGCGTAGCGTGGTGATTTAACTGCTGTTGCCGCTACACGAAAAAGGACTCACTTTTGGCGGCAAAGCATGTTCATTTGTTTTATGGAGCTGCGCGAGTGTGTGTGTGTGTAAAGAACATTATTGCAAATGTCGACACTCTCACCAACACATACCATATATGTCGCTTGCTTGCTGGCAACAAACACGCTTATCAAACGCTATTTATGTAAATATAACAGCAATCCAGTGGCTAGCAGAGTTGATTGACTCGTGAGCGTACGGCAAAGTTGGCATTGTAATTTTCGCGATACGAATCTGGTGTGTGGTCGCTTGTAAATGCATTTAAGTAAATATTATTAAAGCAATTATAGCGAGACGGAGAAGTAGCTGTGTGTCGATGTTTGATTCAGAAAAAAAAATATTTGAAAAAAAAACAAGAAAAAACCTTAACATTGGCTGCACCGAAACTAGTATACCCCTCACAAGTGCATATAGCATAAAAGGGTATAAAAAGATATTTACATGGATTTTGATCGATCAGTTTGGATGGCATATTTATATAGCAAAATATGATCTGGCACTAACTGGCGGGCTTCTCTTTCTTTTCGAAAAAATTCTCAAAATTTTCTGTAAACTATTTTTATTTTTTAATATTTTTTACTACTTTTGAATTGTTTGATTGAATTTGTTTTAATTTACTTTTTCCGTTATTTTTACACTAAAATATACTTCACAAAGATTAAGAAAAACATTTTTTTTTTCAGTTGTCCAACTGTTCTTTTTGTATTCATTATCATGTCATCATCATGTTAAGCAAATAAATCTACCCTTTTTGAATGGATATTCGGGTAGATGGCACGTGTTCTACTTACAGGTTGGTTGAAAAGTGAGTAGTAATCACCAAGAAATAGCACTACTAGCTCCAAAACAATTTTTCTCAAGTTGATACATCTGTCGTGAGAACACATGCAAAGTTACAAGTCATTTTGTTAACTAATTCTTTGTTTACAAGCCATTTCAAGTTGACGTGTCAGAGTATTTTTTTAATATGAAATAAATTTAATATCGCGTAGTGATTGGATTCTTTGTTTGCAAGGTCTAAAAGCAAAGGAAACGATCCACGCGAAGGACGACCAAAAATCGCAACCACACCAGAAATCATAAAGCAAGTTCATGATATTGTTAGTGAAGATCCAAGTTTGACTAAGCGTGAAATTGCTAATGACATAGGCATATCAGACGAACGAGTACGTGATATTTTAGATGGAAACTTTCATATAAAAAAGCTGTTTTGAAAGTTAGTGCCGCACCCGTTACCAATTCAACAAAAAGTAGAACGAAAATAAATTTCTCAGCATAATTTGGAGCGTTTTAAGCATAATAAACCTGATTTCTTGCATCGCTTTATAACATGGATGAGACTTGGAGCTACCACCATGAACCAAAAGTGAAACAAGAACGTTTACAGTTTACTGAAGCTGTTTGTACAGCTCCAAAGCAGGTGAAGTCACCAAAGCAAAGAAAGTTATGGCATCAGGTTTTTGGGATGGAAAAGAAATTTTGCTGATTGATTATCTGCAGAAAAGTAAAACAATCAACTCTGAAATATTATTGCAGCCTTTTGGATCAGCTTGATGAGCTCGTGCTCGTGAGAAAAGACCTAGCTTGCAGCACAAAAAATAATTTTTCATCAAGATAATGCACCTGCAGACAAGGTTGAAATGACAAAATACAACAAATTAAAGTACGAATTGCTTGACCATTAAGTATTCACCAGATTTGGCTCCCAGCGGCTACTACCTCTTCAGTAACCTGAAACAATTCGTTCGTGGAAAGCGTCTTTCGTCGAATGAAGTAACTAATATAGCCGTAGACGGGTATTTTGCTGAGTTTCCGGAAAGTCACCATATTGATGGCATAAAATTATTAGAGGATCATTGGAATAAGTGTATTGAAGTTAAGGGAGATTATATTGAATAAAAAAATATATTTCGTACCAAAAACAGTACTTTTTCATTTCGAATGATATAACCAGAACACAAGATAAAGGCATAAGGGGTATTATCGAAATGTGTTTTCGACCCCTTCTAAGCCACTCATACTTATACCGCTTATATCACCACCCTTCTGTATCAGTTGAGTGTCTCAAATATGTTCAATTCAAAAGAATGGCCGGCATTTCGATAGAGTATTCACCTAATTCGAGCAGTAACGGCTAAAAAGTAACAAGAAGAATACCTAGTGAAAGTGAACCTTTGGAATCGATTTCTGCTGAGTTTATGAGATTTTTTTGACATTTTTCTTTTTTAGTTTTAAGTATAACCTGATTAGCTTGTTTTGCTTACAGGTTCACTTAAGAATATATATATAACAGTTTTTCGGGTTATAACATAAAGGATTCGATTTTTCTCTTCAAAAAAAAGCCGAATTATTCTGACATAAATAGGTTTGTATAATCAAAGCGATTATAAAAAGATTGGGCGTAACCATCTGAATCTGCTCTTAGCCTCTTTACTCTTCACTTCCAGCATTTGACGTCGTCATGTTTCGGAAATATAATTGAGTAACTCTTTCTACGAAATTGAAATACCCGGGATCTCTCTCAGCAGATTTTCGGTAAGCAATTTGTAATTCTATAGGAATACGCAATAATCTAGTTCTTGAAAAAATACTAAACTGTTTGTTGGACCGATCTTACAACTTTGTAATAAGAGTTTTCGAGTAGGGGTTTCTATATTTATCAGGTGCGCGCAAATCGAAACGATAAAAATAATTTTCCTAATATGATAGAAAATTTTTTTATGTTAGTGTGAAATTTGGTCTCCATATAATATCAAAATAATATTATTTGTTAATTAGTGTGTTTTGGCAACTAGTCGTTAATGACTTGAAAAGTTTGTCACAAGATGTCTAATATGGAAAGCAAATTAACGAGCTTGTGTGAGAGAGTTAGCAGAGTACTTCAGCATCTAGACCCGTATAAAAGAGCTGAATCTTTTGCAAAACGAGGTAGAGAAGAGGTCGCAAAAGAAATGCTTGAGAAGGTACTCTTACGGGGCGCAGCTTTATGAATATGACGTTGAAACCCTCCGACATTCAAGCAAATGGCGCTTCATAAATGAGCCGAAACCAAAAAAAAACATTCGACAAAGAATATATTTTGAAGGTGAAAATGAAGATTTGTATTAAAATTTGTGAAAATACATTTTTATTGTGTCAGTCTGGGTAAAACTTGATCAGATGTTATATCCATTCGTATAAGCTTCTATTCTTGGTCTCGTTAACTACTTTACAGAATTAGAAATGCAATAATTTTATTTGGACATTAATTCTCGAAAAACCGAATTACTGCTTCTGCTATCAAATAGGTTATGTTTACATTGGAATTTTAATATATACTTATATACATATATTATTTACCAAATTTTTATTTGACAAGCAAAAATATTCTCTAACAAAATAATATTCATATTTTATTGGACTCATTCATTTTACGCCTATTACCATTGCCTTGCCACTTTTATTGGATTATTTGAAGAGAAATTGAACATAAATGTAATTTCATAAATTGATATGCACATAACAACAACAACAAAGTTTTTATTTGTCAGCCATTTTTTGTTTGTTTTTTTTCTCAAAATGGAAATTCTTAAATTGCAATTGCTTTTTCTATATATAAAACCGTTATTGCTTCATTTATTAGAAACAGATCCTTGCTATTTCGCTTGTGGTAATTATAAAGCATAGCTGGAGTTTAAAAGTTTGTGGTCGAAATTGGATTTCCCTTCGTAGAGCCACACAATCACATATCTACACACACACACACACATATACACATGGAATCCCACACTAATACAATCACACATGCACAATCACGCCAGCGATTGCTGAAACAGAGACAAGTTGAGAGAGTTCCAGTGAAAGCCAGTCACAAATATATATACCATTACTGCATGTGAATATGTGTGTGTGTGTGTGTGTATGTGTTTAATTCTATAAATGAGTTTGGAATGGCAGTTGAGCATTTCAATTCCTGCAACTGGTGCCTTACTGATGTCCTGTGTAATTGGTATGATATCTACGATTTGTAATCCCTGACTATTAGCAAACGACATAAATAGATAATGTGCATATACAACATATATACATACATACATACAATACATATATATGTATATGCATAAAATTCCATACACATACATATGAATGCTGAAATATAAGCAAATTGAATTGCATAATCGCATATAATGAAATGCATTAGCTTCCCTGCTGGGAAAAGCAATTAACTAACGGTAAACATATATGTTAATATACGGAACGAGTGTCCATATTTTGGACAGAATTAAATGCAACGTTTTGAAAATTGAAGTACAAATATAATGTTTCTAGATAGAATTAAAACTTTCTTGTTGCCTACCTTTAGGCACATAGCAGCAGGAATCTCTCGAATATGTATAAACTTATACCCAGCATTTTAACAAAGTCGAAGTCGATGTTGGCAAGCTATAAAAGCTAAATTTTTCATTTACTAGCAGACATTGTAGGCACATAAGGATTAAAGCAACGACGAATCAGCTAGCAGTGTACGAATTAATCCTAAAAGTATGCCAATAAATAAATTTTTAGTTTTAATCTTACGCATATTTGAAAATGACCACGGTAGCTTGACGAACAGCGATATACTTATATTATTATTTATATTAAAATCTCAGACATACTCAAAGCTTTCAGGAACTTTTTTGGTTAAATAAAATCAAGAAGTGGATCACAAATATGAGCAGATCGTCGATCAAAGTTGTTTTTGGGACATGATTTAAGGTCAGTATCAAATATGAAATCAGATTATTAAGCAGAAAGTTAAGGAACTGTATATAGTGTATATGGAGAGTCATCTATGATTGAGGTCAAGCGTTTATTTGGCTTAAGAAAATCAATATTATAAATCGAGATCAAGCCAAATGACCCCAATTACTACAAATCTAAGACTTTTAATTCTACTACTCTGACGATTCTCTTTTGGTGTTGTTGCAGCAGCATAAGATTTAAAAACAAATCGTTGTAAAACACAAGTGCGACTACAGTCCTTGGCCAGGTTTGACTCCACTTCAGTTTTAGCAGCTTACGCTTTTCTTCAATACCGATTAATAGTGGTAATTACATAGGTACATCAGTGAGATTTCGAGGGGTTTGTGTGGCTATTGAATTCAACTTTGAAGAAACTTGTGGATTTTTGCCCTCATGATAAATGACGTCCATATAACTCAGACCATCATATAGGTATATATTTATATACTACAAAAAAAAATTCAATTTTGTACGTGTGCACATTCCTTCATGGCATGCAATTTCTCTTTTCTAATCACTACAAACTATATGTCTCTATAACATATGTATATAGTATATACCATACATACAGCCAAATGTAGTACACTAATACTTACATGCAAAACACACAAGTAGACATCCTCATTATTGGTCTTCTTCAGGAAATTACCAGCTGCAATTACTGTATTCGACAGCAGGTGACATTGTGGCACGAATTTCGATGTCCATTCGATGAGACAATAATTGAGTGTCCAAACCAGTTTTGTATGTGTGTCGCTGCATTGCATTCCGCTGTTGAATAAAGATAAAGCGTACAAATAACAAAAATAGTTAGGTGATATTATAATTATAAATATTTATCAATAGTTTGTGGGTTAATATAAATATTATATAATATAATATATCAATATATCAAATATGTGATAAGAACTTTTTCAGTTCTTTCAGTTCATATACACTATATACAAGTACAAATTGTAGTAAGTTAAGCATTTTACATTTTTTGAAAATTTGGACTGAGTTGAAAAAATGCTTAGTAAATTACTGGTATTGGATAAAGGTAATAATTGATAATAAATAAATTTATTGATAATAAATAAATAATAAATAAAGGCGATTCGATAAGTACTCAGCCTAGAAAAGAAACACGAAACTTTTGAAAATGGGTATATTTATTTATCAACATAGCAACCTGCAATGCTTCTTTAATCCATCTAAAAAGTACTTTTTCGGAAGATCTGAAAAGTAAGCCACCGTGGCGCTAACTACTTCATTCGACTGAAGTTTTTACCAGCGAATAATGACTTTTTCAAGCATTACAACGGCTAAATGTGGAAAAAAGGTTGGTCAGTAGATTCCACTACTTTGGCTATGGCTCTTGGCGAAGGTGTAAGTTACCCATGCCGCTGTTGTCTTGATGGAAGAGCACGTTTTTCTTTGTCGAAATAGAGTCTTTTTTTTGGAACTCGGCGTCAAATCAGTCCACTTATTCGGAATACTAGAGTTTTATGAGCGTTTTTCTCTTCTTCAAGTTAGTACGCTAGATCACTCTATGCGAATACCAGAAAATGGTGAGCATAACCTTTACATTAGCTAGGAGCGTCTTTCGCTTCTTCGGTTCAGGCTCGTCAGATTAACGCCACTTTTTCGACTGTGCTTTGGTCCAACGTTTTCTTGTGCCAAATATTTCATATAGAATATGACTCGCGCGGTCTTTTGTGATGCCTACTATCCTGAGCTATCTTGCTCATCTTCAATAGACGTTCTGCCAATAAGAGCTCGAGGATTTTTATTGCTATTTTTTCATATTTCTTACATCCACGACTTCCACACGCGGTCAAGATCGAACTACGAGCCGTCCACGAAATTGAACAATACTACCTCGACAACACATTCCATGCTTCAATAGTTCTTTTCCCCCAAATTTACCGCATTCGCAACTTTCTACCAGAAACCGTTATCGAAGTCTCGACAATACGAACTTATTTGCGCTGCTGCGATAACCATCACTATTTGACTAACCCTAAATTTTTAGTTGATTTAAAATCGAAAAATTTTCTAAACCGTAATAATGATTGATGAGAGTATTTATTTACTGAACTCTTTATATTTCCAAAATTTTCACTCGCACAAAATACTATCTCTCACTAGAGTACACTATCAGCGAGAGCATGTGAATTATTATATAAAATTTAATACTAAAATATTAACGAATTTATTTTCATAGAAATATGTATTTATTGCACACACAACAACAATAACCACCATAACTCAGTTTCAATGCAAATCAATTTATTGAACAGAAATCTTAGTCTCCATCGCTGCTACTTTTTTTCGAGTTTCGAGTTTTTATTGGCGGAAATGGCAAACCAATAATTTGCAAGAAAAAAGTCCATATATTTGTATTTACCAAACTGAAATCAACAACACACACACATACTCAAATAAATGAAATGCTATCGAAGTGCACAAACAAATATACGCACTCGTAGAAATAGAAATGGCAACAGCGCACCAAAAGCATAGCAAATACTCAATATTTTCCAGAAATTTAATATACAACAAGAGGCAACAACAAAAACAAACTACACCTGCAATAATTATGACTTTTCGACAACAAACAGAAGCGCAAGCTGGGAATAAAGTTGCACAAATGCGCGTGTGTGTGTGTGTGTGTGTGTAGTAGTCAAAAGTTCACATGAAGCGCACAAATATGCAGGCGGAACAATATATCTATGGCGCTGACTAAATAACAGGAAATACAATACAACAAATATAACTGACATATAAAATACACATGCAACTCTGTGTTTGATCATTACGCATAACGGGTGATACAAATACATGCCGCCAAGGCAAAGCCATGACTGTGAGTAAACAAAGTTCTGAGAACTATTTGGAATTGAAGGATTCCAAGTTGAGAAATGAACTTGAATTCTCTAAAGTTTTTCTTCCCCGAATAACTCAACAGCAGAGTCATAACTTTCCAAAAAAAAAACTAGACGTTCTTTCAATTGGCAATTTTATTTGTCAAGCTTGAGAAAACTATAATTCTCAACTTAAACTCAAAAACTCTTCAGCAATTTTAGGAAAATTTTTGAATAACGTTGGATATCAATTTGAGTACTCCTAATGTCCCAAATGTTAATGTAATATTTTTTCGATATTTATTAGGCCTTATGGGAGAGTTAGTGCAAAATTTTAGTTTAGGTTAGATTATAATAGCAGTTTAGTAACTAATAGTAAAAACTTACAAAAAAACAAGTAAGGAAGGGCTATATACCAAATTTGATCGAGTAGATCGTGAAATATAGGTTTTCACCGAAATGTGGACGGTACCACGCCCATAGTCCAATTTGAATTACATCCTTAAGTTCTCTTGTATCATACTAGGTGGAAAATTTTATATCTCTGGCGTATTTATTTGTTGATTTATCGCGGTTTTAGTAGTTTTTAACAGAGCGTTTTTTATATGGGGAGTGGGCGGGGTTATCACTTGATTTCATCAATTTTTACAGTGTCGGTGGGGGTGCTTAAGGGATCTGTCTTTGACCCACAGCTACCTCTTGCTTCTGTGATCCCCTGTGCCAAATTACAGCTTTATATCTTAATTTCTTTATTAGTTAAGGCACTTAATATATTTTCGTTTAATTGCGTTTTGTGAGCGTGCCACTGATACGATTACGCCCCACTACGAACTCATCCTCATTTTTTGCCAAGGAACACGTGTACGAAGTTTAATTAGGATATCTCAATTTTTATTCACGTTATAGCTTGCACAGGCAGACGGAGGAATCGAATTTCAACTCGTCTCGTATCTTTTTCATTTATATATATATGCGATATAAATCCATATCCATCTCAAATAGGTTTATTATAAAAATGACTGGTTCTCTCAGAAGCTTCGCAGAACATAAATTAAACAAATATACGATCGACCAACTCGATTTAAAAATGCGTGTCTTCAAATATGTTATACTTTCTAAGAAGATAGGTTTACTATAAAATATCACCATATATATTTACCGGGGTCAATCTGTTTTCCAAAGACCTCCATATTTTCTACTCCGGTCAAATATCAAAATCAACCAGCATGGTCCGAATGAAAGTATTAGCTGCGGATAAAATATCTTGGGCGCTAATTAAAAGTCAAATATTTGTTAGAAGCATAAAATACAGCGTTGTTAAGTGTTCCAAAAACGCTGCTACAACTCAATTTTCCTTCATATATCATATCTGGTATTTTGCCACCGGAACAAATATTGAAAGAACAAAGTGTCTAATTAGCCAAGTGATGATTAAGAACACTCAGAAGAGTATTTCAATTGCACTATGAATAACTGATCTTAAATAAAACGCTTCAAATAGTTCAACGCTTAGGCAGCTGAGGTTCGGGAAATGTTCTACAGAATTTTAGTGTTTTAAGTTTAATACACGAAGGAGTAGACCGGCATCACTGCAGCAGTGGAGGATGTTTTTGTTTTGTTTAACGCAGTAACTCTTCAAAGTTCAAAAATATTGAGATTTTTTCTGCAAAAATCAAATGGCCTTGTAGTTTAGTTCTGAGATCTCTGGAAATCACTTTTAGTATGTTGAAGTCTTTTTAATAAACACTCTAAAATAAATATTAAAATGTTCCGCCACAGAATACGCTAAAAAATCGACTTCAAGATAATAGAATGGAATGTAAAATGGTAAATTGTCGATTAGAAGTATATGAGAATATTTGGAACTAGTTTTGCAACAACCTTATGTTGTACATATAAATATTTGACCACGAGCTACGAAGATATGGACTCTGGCTTCGAACTTGCAAATATTTCACTTCAAAATTCAGATAACTAAAAATGTGTAGCTTCAAAATGGAAATAAACAAATAAAACATATGAAATTAGAAAAAATACATTGCACTCAATACTCTGAGCATGCGGCCGTCATTGATATTGTGGTTGCGGCAAAAGTCCTTGAAAACCGGCAATAAACCGCAACAGCAGGCTTTCAAGTGATGCACAAACAGTCAACAACATGCATACATACATACATACATATATATTTATATATATATATATATATATAGAGCATATGTATATAAACACACGCTAAAAAATTTTCACATTTATAGTGTTTTATAATAGAATTGTTTCTCTTTTCAGCTGCCACAACCCCGCACCTCTTCAGCTGGGTGAAATCTTCAAAGTTTCAAATTGGCTTTGCTGCCGGTTCCACGGCAGGGGGTAGAGGGGTGCAGATGTCGATGCTGCAGTGTACTGTCTACTGGCGATCGAACTGTCTCAAATGGATGTTGCACAAACCGCAAAACAGCTGGATGCAGCTTCTCACATGCATATGTGTGTGTATGTTGCTGTGTTGGCGCCGCAGTGTTATGGCAAGCAAAAAAAGACGCCAGACGCTGACAAGACAAGTCGTATAGTCAACGGTTCCTGGCTTCGATAAAACTTTGTGATTGAGAAAACAATAACTAACCGCAACAAAACAATAATAATTGCTGACATACTTGATTGAGCAGGTAGACAGACGGCAGTGGTCGAGCAAAGCTTGGCTACATTCTTATGTGTGTGTGTGGCGTATGTGTTATTGCTTATTCGATATATGTACATATATTGTTTTATTAAAGTGGTCTTTGAAGCTAACTTGCCATATTGGTTTAATAACTTGCTGCTCCTGCCAATAAATTGTCTAAAGTATGCACATGAGAGCAAAATAATTTAAACTTAAATTATATTGGAATATTAACAAACAATTATTTTTGCAAAATTTTTTTTTTGGTAATTTGAAATTGCAAAAAATTTTGTTGTTCTTCAACCCTCCTGGCGCGAGCTTACTACGATTCAACTACAACTGTTTTCGTTTGACTTAAATGACTCACTTTTTACCTCTAGTAACCACACGCTTCAGAAATTGATCAATTTCGTTGCGAATTAGCAGCGATTTGTAGATGAAAGTTCGGTCCTTGAGGTTATTGCGTTAACTCGTGTAGCACTCATACAACGAGCTTCTTTATGCATCCAGCCTTATTTAAATGGTTCCAAGCGGCTTCTTGTGTATGGTTCAGCTCTGACGGTCGGAATCGACGATTTACATTATTTTTAATTTTTTCGTTATTACTAAAGTTATATCTTAGACAAATATTGGGATTTTTTTAACTAGAATTTATATATAATATTATATTATAAAATATATAATTCAGACTTGTCAGTGAGCGTTCAATTCATCTTTGAAATAATAAATTTTAAACCAACAACAAACAATAAAAACAATTGGCACAAAATAGCCTGTCTTAAGTTCTAAATAAAATTACGTAAACGCTTTAACTTCAAGCGATTAGATTGATTTCAATAAATATCTATCCATAAAAGTTAAATAAATTTAGCAAAAACATGTCAATGCGTCAATCAAACGATTATAAAAGTCATTCTTCAACTAATCTTGCTAACGAACACACACACATATACTGCAACCTGCTCAGTTTTATTGGTATTCTAAGTTCGGGCTAACTTCATTAGCCTTAATCTGATTTCTTTCGTACGTTTGTTGATTGAACCAAAGCTAAAACAACTGTTTAAACATTTACGGATAACGCCAACTTCACACACACACAACCGTAAGCAATCTTGGTACTCACCTAACATCGATAATCCCATGACGATTGATGTAGCCCACAATCAGGTCGCGCAGCAACGCCAACTCATCGCTCAAGCGGCCGATGGTGGTGTTGGTCTTTGAGCAACATTCGAGCAGGCAGAGCAGACCGGCCAGCGTTGCATTTCGTATAAAGATGTGTGAACTCTTCAAATAATTGCCAATGAGCTGGCACAATTGTTGCAATTCACCGATGGTGGGTATCAGCATGGCTTGCGTTTTGCACAGTAAGTAGATTAAGTGCTGCAAAGTGTAAAAGAAAAGCGATCAAAATAAAATAGCAACGAGATATCGACACAGATAGAGATAGAAAATGAAAAGAGAACTTAAAAAAACCAAAAAAACATAAAAAATAAAAAGAGTTAAAGATACCGAAGCGCACACGAGTGAGGGGTGCAAACGAAGTGGCGAAGCATAAAACTCGTGTCTGCAATGTGTAAATGTGCGACTTAAATGCAGAGCATGAAGGCCATACACACACATACACACACATTAACAGGCTTTTAAATGCGTTCACGTGCATTTGTAAGCCAAGTTAAATGCAATCGCCACAAAGTGTCTGCGATATTACTTGGGAAAACATGGCGGCGAGCAGACGACGAAATCCCAAGCACACGAACAAGATGGACAAATAGACGTGTAAGTGGATGGACAGACGCACAAGCAGACATACAGTCGAAGGGATTTCCTAGCCGTGTCTGATATACGGATGTGGACAGACGGCGGCACGTACACACAAACTAATAAAAAAGTAAGTGGGTAAAAAAAAAAGAAGCCAGCGAATGTGGCACAGCCAAGTGTAGCTATTTATAGCGGCTTCTTTTAGGAAAACACTGATAAGCAACTGCAGGTGGCTGTCAGTTGGCAGGTGGCAAGTGCTGGGCAAACGACGATGCACCAGGCAATGCGAGATGGAACTTAACAAATTCGTTTAAGTTCAATTGCCGGTGTGGCAGAAACACATACAAATCAGCAGACATAAAAATATATACATATAACAGTATATATGCGAGTATGTGCAGGCTACATGTAAGCAGTTGTAGGTAATATGTGGCACATGCGATTGGACACGTCTTGCTGCATTGTAAGTGCTAAGTACCGTGTTGTAAGTTGCATGTTGCAACATTGTTAGCAAAGTAGCCGCAGCAAAAGTAAATGCAACAAAAAATATTGCACAAATTGCAGCTGCAACACTTTTTTTTTTTTCTTTGACTCAGCATAACGGAAACTGATACAAAAATGAAGTGGCGACAATAAAATTACAAAAAAATAAATAAAAATTTGGGCAAAAATCTCGGCAATTGAAAACAAGTCGAAAATTATGTTCATACACACGAGTATATACTCGTACATACAGATAAAAAAAAGTAATCGGTAAACTTCAAGTACATATATTTACTGTATGTCTGCACATAAGTGATATACATATGCTCTTCTGTATATGGCTTTTTTGTTTTTGCTTTTCCGTGCTTACCTGATGTGAAATGGTGTCATCCATTGGTATTGTCTCTTGCAATTTTAAAGCTTTCTCCTTAATCCATTTGATTTGATCACGACTTTCGCAAATTTCTGTGAATTTCACCAGATTTGGTAAGACCAATATGTGATTGTGCTGCAAGAAATAGAAAAATGTTGATGAATGATATGTTGATGCTCAAAGTGGCAAAAAAGCTTTCGATATCTATCAAGAGAATGAAAACAATCAATCTTTATGTATTAAACTTATTTATTCAGATATGTATAAATATACATAATATTTTTATGTATTATAAAACAAATGCACATATGATGCTCCAGTATACGCCTGGTTTTCTCGTAAGCGAGTGGCAAAAGAACACTTGGTAACATAACAGATAGCTTGAACAGCAGAAGCACCAAGTAGTTTTATCAAGGTCACTAAATACCTATGTATATCATCCCCACTTTATTTGCAATATGACAATGTGAACAACACATGCCAAATGTGGCATAACTTAGACTGCTGAAATTTTAGGAAATCACAGCTGAGTTTAAAACTCTTCTACAAAAAAGAGCACACCTGATATTAATGTATACTTACAAGCACCTAAAAGACTTTTCATAAGTGGTCAACAAGCATTTTGTTCAGCAAAAAGACATTGGAATATGCTTTTCTTCCGCTCTAATAATTTGGAGTCAAACATATAACCCATTTTGATAGGAAAAATATCTTATAAGAATATTCTTTTAATATCTATCTATCCTACGGATTAACGAAAATTTCGAATTAGTAATATTTTTTTAAAATTCCAGAAAGTTAAAAAATTTGTGAAAAAGCGACCTTTATTTTTGAGCAGCCGCTATTCAAGAAGAAAAATTCATTTTTTTTCGTTCCTAGAATAATTACATTTGTATTAATCAAAAATACGTCAATGTTTTACTTGTGCGTCTACTTCAAGGAACTGTATGTAAATTTATTTTGTTTCAATTTATTTTCGGGTACTTAGTTCGGTCAAATTAACCAGAAAATAAGAGTGAAGTTACATAAATTTACAACAATAGTACCCTTCACAAATAAAAAAAAATTCCATACAACAACTTGATTTTGATCGTTCAGCTATAACCTATAGTGGTTCGATATCGGTCCCGACAAATAAGCAGCTTTTTGAAGAGGAAAGGACATTTGCAACATTTATGATCAATATCTCAAAAGCGGGAGGACTAGTTAGCGCATATACAGACAGAAGGACACGCCTAAATCAGCTCAGCTCATCATGTTGATCATTTATGTATATATTGTATAGGGTCTCCGCCGCTTCCTTCTTAGTTACTTATTACAAACTTCGTGCCCTGTTCAGGGTATAATAACACACTAAAACTACATCGTTCGTATCGATCATAAAATAAAGTATATTATATGTTGGGTCTATAACTATTTTTGTGCAATTTGCCAAGAAATGGCGTAACCTGATTATTATTACATTGTTCCAATATTTCGAACACGCTACTGTCTACGTGCGAAATGTGGTTTGCACGATTTAAACATGGAGATTTTGTGGCTTGGAAGACGAAGAATGTTGTGGGAGGCAATAAAGTTTGAAGGTGAGGAGCTTCAACACAATTAATATTGTTGCCAAACACAAGAAAAGTTCGCAGAATCTTCTAGAGCCACCCCAACAAACATTTCGAAATTTCATTCAAGAGAAAGCAAATTGGAATATGTATTGAAACCAAGAGACGTGGAGACCCGATTTTGCATATCAGAAATTCTACTTGAACGCTACAAAAAGAAGTCGTTCATAGACGCAAACAATTATGAATATTCTTTGAATATCTCTCTATCATATGATTTATGCTCATCTTATTGATTAAGAGACTTCAAAACACAGAATTTAATTTTTCGATCAATATGAAAAATTTCTTGTAGATTAAAGATATTTTAACAACAGCATTTAGTGGATGAACAGCTAACACCTACAAGTGGATCAATTTTAAGGTAAGCGATATCTGTTATTTTTTCTTAAACAAGTTAGGGAGGGCTAAGTTCGGGTATAACCAAACATTTCATAATCTTGCAACTTACGTTACGTATAACGTATATAGCTTTACGACAAGTTTCCGCCCGATTTTATCAATTTTAGGCACACATTATTATTAGAGATACACGCTGTATCAAATTAGTTAAAATAACTCATATATTGGCCGATATATGTGGTATAAAGTCAGCCGGAAGTTTTAAAATCTTTATATTAGGATAAAGATTGACCATTTTGGATAAAAAGTTGGCATATTAACTGGGGTCCACATATTCGATAGCAGGGAGTTGAAAATTTATAATAGGATCAGGATAATATTACCTGCTGAATTTGGATGAAACCGTTCGAATAGATCCCGAGATATGGGTTTCGACCTAAGTCTAAAGCCCTCTTGTATCATCATGGGTGTAAAATTTAATGTCTTTGGCGTGTTTAGTTATTAATTTATCGCGCTTTTAGTAGTTTTAACAAAAAAGTTATATGGTCATCCATTTTCACACTGTCGGTAGGGGTATTTGAAGGATTTGTCCTAAACAAATTTGGTTATTGTAGCCTTATTGGTTTAGGAGATATGGTGTCCCTTGCTACTGCAATCCCCTGCACCAAATTACAGATTTATATTCTAATTAAGTGCTTAATTATGTCAGTTTATAGGTTTTGGATTATTCGTATTTTTTGGACGTGGCAGTGATCGCTTGCAAAGACGAACGGACTGACGAACAGACAGACAGTCACTCGCATTTCTACTCGCCACGTCATTCTGATTATTTCTATATAAATAGGTGATACAAACAACTGTTAGGTGAACAAAACTATTATAATCTGTAGCAACATGTTGCAAGAGTATAAAAAGACGTCCGCTCTACGAAAATAGTTACTAAATTGATTATAAGTAACACCGCCTATAATTCCAAGACGGCCAGACTCCAAAACCAAAACAATGTAGAACGGTCTTGCGACTTTTAAAATTAAAAAGCAGCAATAAATTTAAGCATTGAATATGCGAGTACATAAATTGCTGTAAAACGTAGCTTCGTTTTATGTAAATGCATTTGTACGTGAGAAGCCGAATGTCGCGCACATTGGAGATTTAAATATGATCTGAAGGTGCTGTGTGTGCCAAGATCAAGTAAGATTCATTCTGACAGCAAACATTTAGCGGCGGCGTAGCGCACTTGCGTGCCACTCAATTTATGTGACAGAGGCAAAACTTTGCCACCAACTTTGTGTGAACACTGAGACACAAACACACTCTCACACACCGTGAGTAATAACAAAAGCTGTCACGAAGCACTTGGTGCGCTCAAAAATAACCAACCTTATAGGCGTCACTACACACATGTGGCACGCAGCGGCTGCTGCTCGTTTATTTCAAACTGGCGAATTTTACATGCCACAGCAAGTGAATTTGTGTCAAAATTTATTTGGAAGCACAAACTGCACGAACACGCGCATATCAATGTATGATGCAGATGTGAGTGCGCATGTGCGTGTGCGTGGCATGGCTGGCAAGCGTGTGTGGCATGCAAAATGCATACTGAATATTGCTCATACGATATGTTGGCCCGCTCAAGGCAATTCAAATGCCATGTCAGGCCGTTAGCAATAATCGAGACTGACTAAAGTGACTAACAGCCCCACATCTGTAGGTGTGCATGTACGTATGTATTGTTGAAATCCGCGTTGCAAGCACCCAAGCAATTAACAAACGCCATCAATAAGCCAGTCGAATGTCCTTCAAAACCGCATCGCGTTCGCCTAATGAATTTCAATTTGGATTTCTGTCATTTGGCGCCGCTAGTTGCATAAATAACGGTGCAAAACTTTACGTGCAACAACAATAGTAGCAACGAGCCAAGCAATTGCAGCTGGCGTTCATTGTGATTTGCATTAGTTGCGCGTGAAATTTTGATTGATTTTGCATGTTGCACGAATAGCTGCAAGTCGCAAGTTGCGCGTTGCATGTTATATAAGTTGCACCAAGCAATTTGCAACTTTGCACGAAATCTGCATGCCAAGCGCGCAACACATACAAGCCTTAATATTCAAACGAAATTGTCTTGCGTTTGCTCTATTCATTGGTTTTCTCATTTTATTCATACTCTCCGCGCTCACTTCACTTTACGCACTCACCTCAATTATCTGCATTAGCACATCAAAAATCAGCTGCGTGCTGCTCTTGAAATCCACGCCTGACTGCGCCGTGAAGTAGCGGTAATTCTTCGTTGCCACATCCTCGCCATCCTTCGGGTCGCCGACTGCACCGCGCTTTGAGCGCCGCTCTGTGCTGGCGCCAATTTCGCCGCCACCGCTCGGCAGTTCCGCATCCGGCGCGCTGCTGTTGACGGTGTATTGTGCGTACGCTTCCATTTGTTGCCACATAAAATTGAAATCATATTGATTGACTCGAAATTGGTGAGTGCCAATGACGCTGTCACGCAGGCGGCAAGCGAAGCTGCTGTAGTTGGTGCGCGCACCGTAGTCAGCGCGCAGTTGGCGCTCCAAATTGGGATGATAGAAGATGTTGGCCTCGGAGACGAGTAGCTGCACTCTGTGTAATTTTTTCAAGCTGCAAAGAGGAAGTTGCATAAAATGTTAGTAAATTAGATGATTGCTGCTGCAGTTAGATGCATGCAAATATTGGCTAAGGCGTTAAAATATATATATTTAATAGTTTCCTTGCGGTTTAGTATCCGGTTTAGTATCAGGGATAACTAATATACATTCACATTTTGTTCTACACTTCCCAGGAAGTATTAAGGAATAGAATAAGTCAATAGAAATTTTAGAAAATATGCGAAAAGAGCATATAAAAGAAGTAAATAGAATCCAGTATCTTGAAGTTGGTCTAACTCTAGGAATACTCGGCCTCAATTTTCCGTAACTAACATATGTATAGACCTTAGATCAAATTATAGTACGAACAAGAAAACTTCGTCAACTTCGGTTGCACCGAAGCTATAATACCCTTCACAAATGCTAAAGGCTCTTTAGAAGAACTTGAGGTCGATCGTTCAGTTTGTATGGCAGCTATATGCTATACTGATCCGATCCCAACAATTTTTTCGGAGATTCCATTGTTGCTTTACATAATGGTCCGTTCCGAATTTCGTGAAGATATCTCGTCAAATGAAAAAGATTTTCATACAAGAATTTTATTCCGATTGTTCAGTTTGTATTGCAGCTAAATGTTATAATGGTCCGATATCGGACACTCTGACAAATGAGCGGCTTCTTGGTGAAAAACGGTCATATACTAAATTTTAGATCGATATCTCAAAAACTGAGAGACTAGTTCGCGTATATACAGACAGACGGACGGACGGACAGACGAACATCACTAAATTAATTAAATAAATTACGTGTCGAATTACGATTTAGATCTAACATGGATTATCGTGAGGAAATCTTGAATATTCGCGTTTTCTGGGCATATTGAATAAATTGAAATGATGAGCTGAGTTGATTTAGCCAGTCTCTCAGTTTTTAAGCTATCGATCTGAAATTTTGCACCTCTTCTTTCCTCACTAAGAAGCTGCTCGTTTGTCGGAACGGCCGATATCGGACCCCTATAGCTTCTAGCTGAATAATCGAAATCAAGTACTTGTATGGAAAACTCTTCCATTTCACGAGGTATCTTCACAAAATTAGATCAGTTTCAAGTGCTTGTAAGGAATAACAAAGAACTTTGTATTTGTGAAGGGTATTATAGCTTCGGTGCAAGCGAAATTAACGTTTATTCTTATTTTGGTTATTGTTTGTGATAAACATACATATGTAATAAAATATATCTATTAAATTTTAGTTAATATATGCGTATAGGAGCATAAATTCGGTAAACAAGCATATAATTAACGCAATTGCATATGTGGAATTTGAATGCGTCGGAATCGATCTCTGTTATAATAATACATGCCGGACTTATGAGCATGGCAATAAGTTTGCTTACGCAATATGTAATAATATCCGAGTGGCATACATATATGAATATTTACGTATGTATGTATGTATGTAAGCATCGTACACATATTTATTTGATATAGCCAGATGCGGAACAGTAGCAATGAAATCAGAAAAAATTGTAATGAATATTCACAGAAAGTCTGACAGAGTATGAGACAGAAGCAGAAATATAAACAACAGTTATAAAATGGCAGCAGAAAGTTATGATGGCGATAAAACAATAACGCAACCAACGTCAAAGCTCCGAACTAAAACATATGCCAGTCGAGATGTGTGTGTATAAGCGGCAGAAGACACATATGTACATATGCAGACAAATAGAGATATACATGGAATATATATGCCATATGGTTGCTTGCAAATAGCCACACATAACTATTTATGTGCATGAGTAAAAATAACAACGCTTTTCTATGCCAAGCGCCTACGTGTATGCAACGATTTCATATCTTATTCAATATTCCAGGAGGCAATATGCTTTTTCCTTTAATATAAATTTCATTATTTACTTTTACTGCATATTGATAAGCAACAGCAGCCAAGCGACAAGAAATGAGCGCGTATAAGTAACAGCAAAGACAAATTATATGCTCAATAGAATGTGTGGCAACAATAGAGCTGATAGCTAAGACATGGCGCGTCTGAGCTTGAGAACAAAAGCAAATGAATTTATCAATTTGAACAAAGCATATGCATATTTTATACGTAATCGCTAAGCACACATCTTAAAAGCGCTATTTAGTTCAACTAGAGTTATCCGTATACCATTTAGCGCAATTTATTGTTTTCGCCTTTCTACTTGTAACCGCACTAATCGCAGTATAAGCCTACTTTTAGGCGAGCGCACACACAACGACAACACAAACGGCAGATGACAATCTCAAGGGGAGAGGGCGACAACACTAACAATACGAAACAATAGAATGTCAGAGCTCAGATAAAGTAGACAATGAAAGCGAAATAATTTTGCGAGAAAGTCGTAACAAAGCGTTGAAAGCAGGCGGGGGTTGTGCGTAAGGAGCGCCACTGGCGAGATTATCAATGAAATACGCGAGATGCATGCGATAAGCGCGATATTAGGAAATTGTTTGTATGACCAGCGTTTGAAGGAAGGAAATATCTGCGGAAGAATATGTGATACATTTGAGGACGAGCTGTTTTTGTTGGTGTGTGTGTGTGTGATCTGATTGCTGGAACTTCAAAAGGGATGAGATGGAAAATATCTATATTGTAATTACATTGTGGTGGTTATGTTACGCATTACCCAAACTCTGAGACAATTTCTAAAACGACTCACAAGAACGTATAAGATTGTAATGGAGACTTCCACACCAGCTTTAAATTCCATTAGCTAAAATCTTTTCAAAGTAACTTCAGAATACCAGAAATAAATTAGCTAATTAATTGTACCGGATGCGAGCGAACTTGAATATGAAGGACTTCAACCATGAACTATACAGTTTTCAGGGCGATTGCGCCTCAGAGTCTTCGAAGACCAAGAAACTGAACTGAATTTGTTTAATTAGAAATGTTTCAGTCACACTTGACACTATATTAACTGGTATCAGAACCACGTAATTATGATTACATTTACATTTACATTAGTTTTGAAGTAATTTTAATACTCCAATTGTATAACTGTCATGACGCAGTATAATAATCATAATCAAGCACCTGGTACTTGTAATTAATAACTCGATTACCGTAATTGTAATCAAGAATTTTATTTGAATGTCAAAAATATAACGCTTGGAAGTGCTGTGTTAGTAATCATAACTTCGATTACATAAATTGTAATTATATCGTTATCATTACAATCATAATTCAACTTACAATCATAACAGTTAAATTTTTTGAAACAAAATTAAATCAGTGGCAATTACACATTTTGAGTACAACAAATTTTAATGCATAATTACAATTATAATAATGGTAGTTCGAAGTAATCAAACAAAGAAACACACACAATTGAACGTTTTTCTTTCGTAATGAAGTGGGAATAAGTATTCATCATAACTTCGCCGCTTACGATTACAGGAATTCTAATTACAGGTATATCATTACAATCATGATTACAAACACAATAACTACAGTTAAATTTTTAAAACCAAAAATTAAATTAGTCGCAATTACACATCATGATTACAACAAATTTTAATGCACAATTACAATTACAATAATGGTAGTTCAAAGTAATCAAACAAAGAAACACATACAACTGAACGTTTTTCTTTCGTAATGAAGTGGGAATAAGTATTCATCATAACTTCGCCGATTACAATTACAGGATTTCTAATTACAGGTATATCATTACAATCATGATTACAAACCCAATAACTACAGTTAAATTTTTAAAAGCAAAAATTAAATTAGTCGCAATTACACATCATGATTACAACAAATTTTAATGCACAATTACAATTACATTAATGGTAATTCGAAATAATCAAACAAAGACACACACACATTTGAACGTTTTCCTTCAAAATGTTGTGTGTATAAATAGTAATTGATTGGAAAATAGTAGAACGGCGTATAATTATTTGAAAAGTGTAATCTTATTTTTGAAAGGGCCTTATTATGGAAGTAAAAGAGGTAATCACTGTAGCGTAAGTATCATTGGCACTCATCTTGCATTGACGTTTGTTAATTCCAAATCTTCATCTTTTTTAGTGATCAAAGAGACGACGCAAAAACTTGTCAATTATCCGTCTACCACTGGGCCCATTGCTGAGACACCAACACTCTCATATCTCAACTCACTTTATGAGGACATTGATTCCTTTTTATTGAAGAACTTTTAATGGACTTTGAAAATTTTGAATTTTTGTAAAAATTGATGTTAGAAAATTGTGCAATATGGCGTACCTATACACATATGGCTTTAAAGTCTAAGGCTTACGTTTGTTTATACACCCACAATAACACACTTAATCATGGCCATGTTGGTTCCGCCAATACAACATTACAAACTTGTTTTATGCTGCCATGCAACAAACGAATATGTGTCAGCAGACAAGTAAGCGCGCTGAAACGCCTATAAGTATACAAGGGCAATCAAAACAAACTTATACAACTACATACATAACACATTATGATACACTCAGCAGCAGATGAGAAGAAATTCTTATGTGTTTGTGTGTGCGTGCGCGTTCGGCCGAGTACATTTAAGCGTTTCCCCTTTCATTTCCTGCCAATGTTCATTGCTTCCTCTGCCTGCAAGCGTACGCTTTGAGCTTCAACTATCCCAAAAAAAAAAAAAAAGAAAAAAAAATACAAAGCCTGCAAGTGGCTAATGAAACAAATGTGCGTACTCTGAATATGTATGTGCATCTGGAATACCGTGTATAATATGTAGATATGAATGCCAGGAGGCATTGTAAATTTCACAAACAGTGCGCGTAATTAAGCCGTTCTTATTATTGCATTTTAATTGCGTTTTCCCAAAGCGCCACACTCCTCCACCCCTTTTGGTGGAAAATGAGAACATAGGAGACGTGAAAGGCTTATAAAGAGGGATTTTGGACTTTTTCAAAAAAAAATGTATGCTATATATATATATATATATATATAAGCCCGGTGAAAAGTCCATCCTGTCGAGTGAAA